AGAAAATTTAAATAAAATAAAAATCTCTTTCAGAAAGAGGAGTTTTGAAGAATGCTTCATTACTCAGGTTGAACAAGCAAAATTCCCTTATCTCATCAGTCTCATTTATAAGCTTTATTTATTAAATTTTCTCAAATATTTCAAACTCCCTGTATGAATCTATCATATTTGATTTGATTTTATCATTTCCAATAATTAACATGACAGGTTTACAATCACTTGTGAAGTCATTTTCATATACTTATTGTTTATTTATTTGCTTTTGAGATAGGGCCTCACTATGTTGACCAGAACTCAAGAATCCTCCTGCCTCAGCATCCCAAGTAGCTGGGATTACAGGTGTGTGTTACCACATGTATTTTATACTGCTTTACTAACTGACGAATTAAAGTAATAACAATAGCAAATCTGTTCTAATGTTGCTAATGAGGTGAGTCAAATTTTCATATACCTTTCAACCAAAACCACAAATCTACAATCAATTTCCCATTATAAATCGGAATCATAGCTTATTTAAATCACTTAAATAAGGAACATACACAAGACTACTCCTAAACTTAACATGAAAGTATAATGTTATGGATTCAATTTATTGCATCATCTTTATATTGAATTCTAATTATCTCCAGACTTGGAAAGCCACTCAACAGGGAACAGATTTACTACCTCCGGGGATTCAGAGTTACTGGGTCAGCAACTCTTGAACACAACGTGGTGGACGTCTCAGATGTGTTGGGATGGGTAGGAGCCAGGATCAGTATTCTGACACTGGGGACTGAGGACCCTTAGCTTTGCCTGCGGTTGCTATGACAACAGGAGGTTCCCAGCAGGCACCCTTCAGAGGGATGTGATTTTAGAACCCTCCTTCCAGTTACCTACTGGAGTTGGGTCCCCATCTAGATCAGCTTTATTTCTTTGCTGGCTTCTTTGTTTCTTCGGTACAGCAGACACTGCTGGCATACTTTCACCTTCCTCCAAAGACGCACTAAATACCACCGCATTTAACCCAAAACATTTCACAGAGCCATGATCCTCCAGTCATGGTGATAACACGTGCCATTCCCCTTCCTTGTGACTTTTTAGGAATTCCCCCAAACAGGACTGTAACGTTTCACATTCCATCAGAATCACTGAGTTTAACTTGGCAGATTCTGCTTTGGGCACTGTTCTCCCTCAAGCTGCCCAGGACACCGCCCCCCCCCCCGCCCCCTATGTAAGCTAAGGCTACCCAAATGGGGTTTTGACATGGTCCCAACCTCAGATGCATCCTCCTGTTTGCTACACTTGTTTGTTTTTAGTGGGGGGAGGAGGCAGCACCAGCAGCAGAGCTGGATTTGTTCTTATGTGTGGATCAAAGATCATAAATAACTGTTGTTCCCATTTCACAGGTATCTACTGATACCTGGCAAAATAACAATTCTATTTCTTGTGCCTCTCAGACAAGACATCCACTAACAACTCCGTTTTTCTTACAGCTATAAATGTGTTTATAAAATATGTTTTACAGATAAAAGATGTTTATAAAATATTTTTGAAATATGCTAGCATTTTGAATACTCTTCAGAAAATCCAATCTTTAGAGAAGTCAACTGGCAAACCATCTTTCTAATGTGATTAACCCCCAATTCGTAATTTGACTTAACATGCCACACACTTTGTTGGGGTTTGAGTATGTGCAATTACCATTCAACTCCTCCCCTACCACCACCAAATTTTACTGATTAATCACTCTTCGTTTTACAGGGAGGAGCAAATTGAAAGTGGAAATAGGGACTGTACCCGGTACCTCTGAAATGGAAGTTTCAATTAAAATAAGAGTGTAATAAAAACAATAAATGTCCTACCTAACATTTTACTGTAGTGCTCGCTCACTCTCTTGCTCTGAACACATGTATCCACATAACACCTTCTTTTTCTTTGAACTCAGCTGGACAGCTAGTGCTCGTTCTTGAGTACTTTAGTGTGTATCACTCACTTTGATATCTACTTACTTTTTTCTAAATCAAAATCCAGTCAAAGTTTACACATTGCTGTGGATTCTTATCTCTGGTTATCTGGAACAGATGCTCATTCTTAAATGCACATGAGTCACCTGGAATCTTCTTCAAATGCAGATCCTGACTCCAAAGCTCCCAGTGGGGTCTGAGTCAGAGTCTGACAAGCTCCCAGTGACAGATGCTATTGATCCACTTTGAGGACAAGGATAGGACAGTCCCCTTGTATTTTCCCTCATGGCACTGGCTCCTTGAAGAGTCCAAGCCTGTTTCTTGCAGAATGGCCAAGCTTCTGATCATGCCACCATCTCAATTTCCTCGTCCTCCAGCCTGTTTGGTGTAGAGGCCTGGTTGGTTTCTAGTCTTAGGTTTCTCAGCATACGACATAAGTGACACCACTACTTCCTAACACATCCCGACGGGAGGCACTGACTGCCAGTTATCCTAACAGAAAAGGTGCGCAAAGACATTATTACTCAGTTGAGGAGAGGGTGGAGCTTTCTATGGTAATTTTTTTTTTTAAATGCGGCACTGGGGTTTGAACTCAGGGCTTCATTCTTGCTAGGCAGGCGCTCTACTATTTGCATCATTCTGCCAGCCCTTTTTTGCGGTAGTCATTTTTAAGGTAGGCTTTTGGGGCATCCTTGAGATATCTGTCAGGTAGGAACAAAAAGCCAGGTTGAATGACTCCAAAGTCCAGAGCTACCTTCATCTTGGCGAAAGTAATCGAGGGTGAGCAAGTGTCACCTACCTTATGCAAGGACTATGGGTGAGTCATTGAACTGAGCCACCAAAAGAGCCTTGAAGTCACTGCCATGTTTATCTTCACTTTACGGATTCACAAAACAAGACTCAGAAAGCTTCAGTTTTTCCTGACCTCCCAGCTGGTGGGCACCAGAAGAGAAACTGCATCCAGGTGTGTCTGTGCTGTCTCCACTTGGAATTACTATCAATCCCATCCCCAAAGTCCTGCCACAGCCCCTCCAAAATCTGTGCCCTTTGCCTTTGTTCAGCATCCAGGAAAAATCACGGCCATGCTTCTGAGTATAGCTAAAGGTAACCAGATCTTTATGACAGTTTGCTTGAGGGCCCCGAACTCACAGGGCAGCCTTGACTTTGTCCTTCCTCTCTGGCTCTGCACTGAAACAACCATCTCACGAGCCAGATTCCTTCTCCTCCCCATGCCCCACTCTCCTCCTTTGAGACTGGTCAGGCCCCTATGAGGGAAATCAGATTCTCTTCTGCCCCTTGCCCTCTCCATAGGGGGTCTAAGACACTACCAGAGAATTCCCTGGGCTCAGTTAATTTCTAGATGTAAAAAACAGAAGAAAGATTTATAGCTATAACTTTGATTTCTTTATGCTGTGATGACACCAAATGTTTATTATTCTTATATCAAAACCCAGAGTGTCTTTTTCCTGTAAAACATGGCATACCATGTTAGGCTCCCATTCCAGTCCATGAAATCACAGTACAGTTAAAATAAAGCTCGTTTCAAAAAGTGCAGGGCACAAATACGTATCACAGTATTCATGTTTTTAAAAGAATAGAAATAAAATGTAGCTGGTGGGGTGACTCAGATGGTAGAGCGCTTGCCTAGCAAGTGTGTGCCCTGAGTTCAAACCCCAGTACTGCCAAGAAGAAAGAAAGAAAGAAAGAGAAAAAGGTTGTGTTTGTTCAAATGTGTAGACTTGTAGAAAGCATGCTCAGAATAAAATAAGGCTAGGGATGGAAGATTTTGGAGATTCCAAAAGGGAATTCCAAGCATTTTAAAGGACTTCAAAGACTGAAGCAAAGAAATGCCTTCCCTTGGTCTGACCCAGGGGTGTCTCCAATGATACAGAGGACTTTTCTTTCTTTGTGTAACTCACAAATGGAATGAAAAATGACAAGAGGGGATTTTCTCAAGGCAACTGAGTGAAAAAATAGAGAAAAGGAATAGTAGATGGGGATAAAAAGGTGAGTAGAGTTACTGAATGGAGAATTGCCTCAGTTATAAAAGCCAGCGTGTGTACACAAGGTATCTGGGAAGGCAGACAGGTGGTGACAGGGAAAAACTAGGTCTGGCATCCCTGATGGGGCACTTGTGACCCTGGCAGTCCCAAACAGCTTTACTGTCATCTGGAAAAGAAGTGATAAGTGTGTTTCCTGGGGTCCAGTAGGAAAGAAGTGCTGTGTATGGTAAGCAATGTCTTTAAGAAAAAGAATGCAAGCCCCCAAAGTGTAGTGCTCCCCATTGCTATGGTATAAACGCTCCCACCAAGGGCAATTTCAAGCTTTGAATAGTTTAATAATTAACTGAAAAATTCTAGACTATTTAACCATCAGCTTCCATGAGCTGGTGAGAGCACAACAATCACTGGAAAATACAACTCATCATTTACCGTCTCAGATGATTGCCAGTGAGACCCTCACTACACAGGCAACCCTGCTGTCCTGTGAGTGCACATTTTAATTACTCTCATGGCCACATGTTCAAAACCGGCAGATTATTCATGAAGTTCAGTAAAAGAGTACATCTCAAAAGCACATTCTTTGTCTAGAAGCCACCAGAAATCAGAGGGCAGATGGTTAGTCCAAATTTAAGTTCAAGGTCATTATGTAGGTGGGTTCTTGAGACAACATCACATGAAAAATACATGTTTTTTCTCTATATGAGTTTTTAAAAGGTAAAAGAAAAAGTCACCAATGATTTTCTAGAATAGTTTGAAATTTTAAAGTCTGGGGCATACTCTTAGCAAAAAATTAATACATTTCCAAAGTGGATTAGACACTGAAGTGTAGATGCTTGTTGATTTCTTGCCTTGTGTTTCCCTGATCACACAGTTCATCAAAATAGGGCTATTGGTCTCAAAGACTGGAGAGTGTAGAAAGGTGTCTTGACACATTGTGGCCTCCCCTGGGAGCCAGCATGGAGAGACTTGACCCCTGAAAGACTCAAGAGCAGCAGGCGTGCCCAAGAGAGAGGAGCTGGGGTTGTCTGTGCATCTCCCAGCTGGGCTCCGTCTACACCGTCACCATGATTTGGTCCAGACCTTTCCGTTTGAGCTTGGGCACTGTGGCCTCTTTGCTGGGATATCCCACGGGGAGCAGCACCAGCAGTTTTTCATGTGGGGGACGACCCAGGAGCACCCTCAGACGAGGGCCACAGTTGAGAGGAGTGGTAGTGACTGTCACCAACCCTACATTCTAAAACAGGAGAGGAAAGAGGTACATTTGAAACTCAGATACATAATCATAGCTGTGCTTCCAGCCTGGGGACATTGTCATCTCTACTACACCTACTCATCTCATCATTTCCCTTGCCCTCCCTACCTCCTGTCTTTTTTTTTCAACCATGTAGTTGCACGCATAGAGGAAGAAAAATGCTAGCCTTATTTTTCAATGATGCTTGAGCAGTGGGATTGGTTACTTTATGGAAAGAAATTTGAGAAATTCAATTATACCAAAGGAACGACAAAACCACCTGGAGTTCCTTTTAGTTAGGGGGTCAGTCTATATCCTGCACTTGACCATAATGAAAATAGCAGTCTGCCATAGCAGTGTCCTAGTCCTACTTCTACTCTAATTTTCCTGTTATATATTATTTCCTAGATTTCAGTTATCTGAGGATTGTTTGTTATCAATATCTTTAATATTAGTATTTGAGCCCATAAATGTAAAAGGACCTGGAGTGACTTGATATGGTCTCTTTATGACTGCATCTTTATATTCACTAACCTCTAAGTGAAATTTAGTAGCTTATTCAATTTTGAATAAACAACAAATCATGGTAGTGTTAAAAATATCCATGATTTTTGTCAACAATAAAATTCACAAGTATTGTACTACAGCTCTGGCTCAGGTGGTAGAGAACCTGCTCAGCAAGTGTAAGAGTGTTAGGTCCTGAGTTCAAACCTCAGTACCACCAAAAAAAAAAAAAAACAGGTATTTTCATATCACTTTATAATTTTTATAGAGATCCTAAAATATCATTATATTCATTACTTTAAAATTGTAGACTGACTGCTAGATCTTGGTATGTAATATATTAATAAAGGTTTACATATTATATTCTAAACAACAACAGGCACAAGGAGGCCCTATGACCACACAGCCAGCAGTGGAAGTAGCGAATACCCCTAGTGAAAACGCTCAGGTCCAGTGACGGGACCCAGGGGGATGCTGAGGGAGAAGAATGGACCCCATCCCAAATAATAAGTTCTAAGTAAAAGCAATGAGTCGTTTCTGTACAGTTCCTCAGCTGCTCCCTCCACCACCTATGCTTTCTCAACCATATTTCCACCTTGCAGCTTGAGCCAAGTTTTGGAGCTGTCTCTCTATGCTTCCTGCATGTCGAGCTCACTGGGCCAGGTGATTGGGCTGGGATGGGGCTCCATGAAGATTTCTCTCTTTTCCCTCCTAATCCTGGTCTCCCTTAGAACTATGACTGATGAGAAGCTAGAGGGCAGCAAACTCAACAGGAAAGCAGCAAAGAACCTTGCAGGAAAGGGCAAGGCTCACTCCAGGCTCACACTGCTTCCTCCAGGCCCCAAATCAGCCACAGCACCTGTGGCCTGATGCTGCACAGGGTGCCAGTTTATTCCTCTATCTACAGCTTCAGGAGCTGGCAAAGGCCAGCTCCTTCAGACAATGTTTCAAGTAGTCTAAAAGCGTGCTTCCCTTTGGGTAACAATGACAACAGAGAATAAGGAGTTAGCATCCAAATTTTTCTTTGAGATAGTGAAAAAAGTTAATATTTTTTGGAATTGATTTTAATCCCTTGAAAGTAGGGTCATTTACTCTTATAATATTGTTTGCTTGGTTTATTTTATGTGTTTACCAGGCCTCTATCCCTTCCCTGGACCCCAGTCCCCACCAAAATGTACATACAGTTCATGAGATGCCTTATCCATGGTATCTTCTGATGCAATACCATGTAAACTCAGCTTCTCAGGAAAAGACCCCTGTGAGAGCCTCCTTACAGCTTTTAGTCACCCCATCCACTCAGACAGCAAGGGCAATAGCCACCCAGGAGGTTAGACTCTGTGGCTCTCAGGCTCGGAAATTCTTCATGTGCGTCTGCCACAACCCTTAAGCTACATGTTGTTACAGAAGACAGCAAACACAAGGACACTATTCTAACCCTGACATGATGTTACAAGTTCAGGAAGAATTTCAACTTGCTAAACCGCCACACCCCTAAATCCAGGTGTACGGGGTCAGTTTCCGCCTGGATTTACCTTGCTTAGAAATTTGACTTTAGATAAACAACTTCCAAGTGACCCTGAATTGGAAACTCAGCTGAAATGTTCTGATAAGGCCACCCTTTGCACTCTCCCCCCCCACCTCCCACCCATGTCTCACTTGTCTCCCTTGGGGCTGTGGGAGAACAACATACCTGCAGAGCAGCCAGCAGGATGCCACACGCGATGGAAACACTGATCTCATTGTAGTAGTGGACCTTTTTCTCGCCATTTGCGGCAAAACCATGTACTTGTTTGAAAATGAGAATCAAAACAGGGGCAGTGTCCAGGTATTCTTTAACCCAGTTGGTTCTGAGAAGGGAAGAGAGTCAAGAGAATACTCGTTCTTACTTTTTGCTTTCTTTTGACTACCTTAGCTTATTTATGACAAAAAATAAAAACACATTTACTTGTCTTATATTTAAATTGAAAAAGAGAATTTCTGGGTTTTGTCATACTCATCTTTTTCTGTCCAAGGTCATCGAATTCAATGCATTAGTAAGTGCCCAGTATGGCAAAAACCTATGAAATGCTAAAAGATACAAAGTGGGCCCCATAAGCTAGAGATCACTAAGCCAATATTCACCAAAATGAAGCGTGGTAAGTCCCACTAAAGAAACAGAAACCAAGTACATGAAGAGGCTTCCAAAAACTGAAATGTAATTTTTAAAAAGATTGAGAGAAACTGAACACCTGTAATTACAGTGCTTGGGAGGCTGAGGCTGAAGGATGGAGAGTTCAAGACCAGCCTGGGCTGCGTATCAAGTTTGAGACTAGGCTAGATTACACAGGGAAAATCTGTCTCAAAAAAAAAAAAATGCAAACAAAAAAACAAAACGAGATGATTAGTAAAAAGTCTACAGAAGTAGTCTCAAGTTGGCTCTGAAAGAAAGGTAGAAAAGGGAGTTGGGGGAGCACATCCCAGAGTAGTGAAGAGATGAGAGAAAGCAAAGGCAGGAAGGAGAATGCATGGCAGGCCAGGGAGTTCCCAGAAGACTGGCAGGTGGCAGAATGGTAGGCCCCATGAGGATTTTGCAGGGGCCTGGCCTTCATTTGGGAAGTGTTAGAAAGTTGTCACAGGCTTCTAAGCAGACACACCACATGATCAGATCTGTCTCAGAAAGAAGTGGGTTGTTGTGAGTGACAGTGCTATTACCAAGAAGATTTTGAAGTTCCAACAAATCATCCCAGAGGAAGGGGAACCAGTCAGGGGACCATGGCAACGGTCCAGGCAGGAGGGTACTGAAGGAAGAATCAGGCTCAAGAGAACTTGGTCAGGGGTGGGGGTGGGGGGTGGGGGGGGAGGGGCTAGAGTTGGTGGAACCAGGACAGGAGCAAGCATGGGAGAAGTCATTGATGACAGAGAGGTTTAACTGAAATTACAGGTAGGCTGGTGGAAATTCTGTTAGTTCAGCTATGGAAGAAATGAACTTTAGTGGGAACAAGAGATCATTCATGTGAAGTACAAATGAGAAACTGGAGGTTTTGTTTTACACTTCAGAAAGTATCTTTCTTGATTGCGCTGACTTGTCCCATATGTTTTGGCAGGAGTTTCATTCTAGAACACATTTTAAGGAGTGATACAATACAATATAGTCATGTAATGCAATATATTGAGATTTGTGTCATTAGCAAGAGATGGGTACTATTCATTTTAGCATGTTATGCTTCACTGCCTTAAAACACTAAATCCACATGCATATTTTTCTACGGTTCTTACACTGTTAATAGCTATAGGTCATACTTTCAAAGCCGCTTTAATCATACTTCAACAGGCTTAGTTCCATTTGACTGGTATTGATTCTTTTCTCCTTACAAAGAGAACATTACTGGTTTAGAAGATCAACTCTGGAGCCAGACCAGCTTTGCTGAGTTGAGCAAGCTTCTTAACCTCTCCATGCTATTTTCCCAAATGTAAAATGTACTATTGTTCCCCACCTCATATGGCTATAGTGAGCATGAAATAACTAAAAACACATAAAGTAGCTTTTACTAATACAAACTTCAGACTTTTAAGTCACAGGAACATGAGTATGGACGGATCACTTGTAATCCACTTTGCTGACTCACTTTCCTGCTGATTTCCAGTAGTCACCAATACCTCTGGAACACGTTCACTGACTGTGCCATCAGGCCCTCCCCACCCCCCAGCAGAGCAGAAAGCTGTTCTCCAAGGCGTCCAAGAGCTGCGCTGCCCCTGGCGAGCTGCACACTGCTGAGATACTGTGTGTCCCCACTCTGCGCTCTATTACATGAACTTGTATTCTGTATCACTAGTTTCATGATTTTAAATTCTGATTCTGTTATTAAAAATAATTGTAAAAACATACAAAATATACATGCAGGGGAAACAACGTATTTTCAGAGATTAAATGAACACTAAGCTAAGTATTTTAGAGGTGTGCACATCTGGAGTCCCATATCTCTCCCAGTATGGAACTCAACTTGACTTTTACCTACCCATTTCTTCCTGTGAATATGCAATAAGATTTATGCTTTTGATATTAATATCTCAAACATGTCCTAGAGCACAGCAATGAGTTACAATGCCATAGACATCAGTTCTAATAGTTTAAATATCTCAGGAGAAAATTGTCCTCTGGAGACAACAAATGAAGCAGGAAAAGAGCCAAGAGGCCCATCTCTCTTGACCCCCACTCTAACTCTTGGGCAAGAAGCCCCACCATGTCCCCAAGATTGGGATCCCATCATCCTTTCTAAGGCTCATATTCCCATGGGGTGTTAGATGATAGGTGCTTGAGCTGGCCATGAAAGGCCCAGAGCTGAGAGACAGAGGGATTAGAGCTGAGAACTTGAGCTGCCCTTATTGTAGTGCCTTGTGAGATTCTGACATCCACCATCCCTCTAGTTACACTGAATTCCACTCCACTTCTTTCTTAGAGGTAATGGAGCCCACTATGACCGAAGCCTAACAGATACTATACTTGTGCTAAACGTGCCCGTAACTAAAGGCCTCTTAGTAAAATCAGTTGCAAATTCGATCACTTTAGCAAAATGCAAGTTGCTTCACTCAAGATCTTGAAAAATATTTCACAATATTATATTCCAGATGGGTGAAAAGCTAAGTAGTTCCTCAATGTCTTAAGAGGAAATTATTTGCATCAGAGCCTACAACAGAGGCGAGGCCTGACAAAATTCCCATAATTCTCTCTCAGAGCCAGAATCAGACTTTTTAACACTGAAAAAAAAAAAAAAAAAAACCAAAAACCAACAGGGGCAGGAGGAGGGCAGGGTGGCATTTGATCAACGCATGCTGTAAGCACATGTTGGAATGTCACACTGAACCATGTTAGTATGTACAATTAATACATGTCAATCAAAAATAAAATAAGATATTAAACCCACAAAACCAGGAAACTACAGTGATAGTTGTTTCATTTTAAGAAGGCAAAGTGAACATCCTTAATTCCACCAACTTTGTACCTCAGTTTCTTCAGGTCTGTGACCCACCGGTGTCCCATTCTTTTCCTGTAGTTTATTTCTTCTTCTTCTTCGATGATCTCTCGGATCTTATGCTTCATGTCTGGGTTCTTTACAACCACAAAGGTCCAGGGCTCTGTGTGGGCCCCGCTTGGGGCTGTCCCTATCAGCCATCAAATTAAAATCAGAAATTAAAACTGCAGGGAAGCGAGAGACTTTAAGAGCTTAGTGTGTTGACCTTGCTCAAAATGAAGCTAGATTATCTGGCAAGTGGGCTCTGTGCTACTGCAGACTCTGTTCCATTCAGTTTCACTTTGGGGGTCTCCCAACCACCTAACTAAGACCAAGGCCAGGCATGCCAGGACTGTGGGAACTTTAGCCCTGCTGCTAAATCATGGGGGACATGGCATGCTTAAGAAACTGTATCATGGCCACTAAGGAAACACAGAGGGAAGTTCTGAGAGCCCAGCTTCTCCAAATTGCCATTCATTTTGATGTTCTTGAAAAAAGTATGAAGTCACGAAGCTTAATGGAAATGATATAATGTCAATGGTGAAATGATGTGTAAACCTTGATCATTAATCATTAATCATTTCCTTGATTAAAGCTCTGGATGAGGCACTGTAGGGTTTGTAGTCTGGTTAGGGACACACAGGGATGAGACCCTCCTGGTCCTGAGTGCTCAGTATACACAACAGTGTGTCTTTCTGCTCCCATGGGCTTCGGGAACCCTTGGTCCACTCCTAGTCAACTCCAGTGTCCCAGAACTGTCCCAGTATTTTGTCCAAGAACAAAGCTTCATGGTGTACCACCCTTGTCCAAGGGGCTTAAATTTCTTTGAGATTCCACTTAGGGATTAGGAGCAAGTTTCTGACCTGGGTGTCACCCCTCAGTCTTAGATAGCCCGCTGTTCCCAAGGATGGACAACAGTGACCCACAAGTGGGATATTTCAGAAGCAACAATTTCTTCCTTCCAGGTAAGTACTCAATGAAATAAGCTCTGCCTAGAGAGCGAGTGAGACCTGTGGACTTTTGGTGGGGTTCTTGCCTACTACACACCATTCCCAGCTCTTGAAGTCATGGTTAATTGTAAAATACAAGTCAAAATAGTAGGCCTAATTTTTTCCAGAGTGATCCCACTTAACTTTTTACCCATATTATTTATTAACTAATATTTGCATTTCTAAATGTAAGAAGTATATTTCTCTCTAATATTCTCAGTTATGCCAAATTTACCTTAACTTCCTATGTATACACACATATGCATATGCTGATATAGATGAAGAAAGAGGGAGTTAGTAATTGGAGCTAGTTGCATAAAGGATGCAGCATAGTTGTGTATTTGTATTCTTAACTGAAGCAAAATATTTTAATCTTGGTTTCTTGTATATTAGATAGTGGGCTTACAATGCACATACAATAATTTCTACAAATAAAGTTAAATGTGAACTTAAATGGAACAAGACTCCAATCAAAGGAAACTCTCAAATAGGAGACTTTCTCTTACACCTTCTCCTTTTCTCTGTAACTCTGATTTTGTCCCTCTATGGAGATATTAATGTACATTAAAATGAGTCTATCTTACTTTGGTTTGCTTTGAAAAGTCACATGGAGAGTAACTTCTTAGCTCATTAGGAATACTGACTGAGCGCATTTCATTGGTGTGTAATATAAGAAGTTTACTGCCACCAAGACAAATGTGCTAATGAGATAGAGAGGGTGTGGTGTTTTAAGGGGAAGGAAAGAAAAGGAGATGTTCTCTTCCAGTGTATATTTGTATGTTCAGAAATCTTAATTTTAAGTAAAAGTTCACAAAAAATGAAATGATTGCCAAGTTTTAAACGTTGTTCACATTTGCTTCCAAAAAAGTTTACAAATTAGTCAAAAATGTAGAAAGTTGGATAATCATTATGTTTCTGGCAGTCCACCTGAACACTGGGTAAGACTACAGATAAATTACAGCACTCTTTTAGGACTTCTTCACCATTTTGAACTTCAATATTGTTTACAATACTTGCCACACAAAACAAAGGCAAGCTGACCAGTCTCAAAAGGACCCAGTATACAATTACAAACCTGCTGCTTTTGATGACATTGTCAATGACTTTCCACTGGGACTTGCTCTATTACTATGAACCTGGGACTGAACGTCGCTTGTTGAGGAGTTCATAAAATTCCTGAGACCTCTTAGCCATCTCCATCTCAGGATACCGGGTGTGGGAGAATGGGATGTGCTCAATGCTTTCCTCTGACTCTTGCCATTTATCAGCATCTGAAAATGAGACAAGAAGAGGGGAAAACTCATTGACCTTTGTTGGTCATAAGGGGCCACTGGTCAGAAGGAAATAAAGTTCTCAAAAAAGTCTGTAAGGTCATGTAAATTCAAGAAAAGAGGAGTAGAGGAGAAAAGGAGAGAAGAGGGGAAGGGGGGAGGGGAGAAGAGGAGAGAAGAGAAGAAGAGGGAAGAGAAGAGAAGGGAAGATAAGAGATGAGAAGAGAAAAGAAGAGAAGAAAAAGAATAGGTCTACAGAATCCTGACCACTAACATTTACTACCTTCAAATTCTAGACTTATTATACATGGAGAAAAAGGAATTTTTTACCTACAAAAAGATAGGGAATTCAATTTCTGTTAATGATGGACTAGGTTATTTGAAACAAACTCCCATCAGCTTAAAATCACTCAGATCACAAAATAAGGTGTTTTAAAAAGTCCTTTCTAAAATCATTGAGCTAGCAACATAGTAAGAAATTCCAAGGCCACAGCCAAAGGGAAAACACAAACCTACAGAGGTAAGTAGGCACAGAACCACATCTCTGATTACATTTTGCTAATCCCTATACATTTGAATTTCTATTTCTGTATCTTCAGGTATCGAGGGCAACCAAAATCAAAGCCCAGGCCCCACACACAATGGGAAATGTCATAAGCTGGCACCCCAAGACAACCAAGCTCATAAAGAAACACAACATCTTGAGGAAAGAATTAGCAGAGTCAATTTTAAAAATAAATCCAGATACCTTAATACTCCAAATATTGGAATTATCAGACTCAGAGGGTAAAACAACTATGTTTAGAGAGAGGAAAGGACAAGCTTATTTTACTTCAATCTCTAGAGTGCAAGAAAGAATAAAAGAAGACATAGAAAATATGAAAAATAGAACTTCTAGGACTGAAAAATAATAGAATTAAAGCTTGATGGAAAGAGTTATTAACAGGTTAAACTACCTAAAGAACACTTAATGATCTGGGAGAGAAGTCAAGGGAAAATATCTAGAATGGGGTAGGTAGAGGGCAAAAGATGAAAAACATGAAAGAACAAGAAAAAAATACCAGAGAGAGAATGTCCAATATATAGAAGACCATGAAATTCAAAATAGTAGTTACTGCTGTAGGAGACTGCCCAAAGGGAAGGTCTGAAGAGACCTTTAGAAGAAGGGGCTGCTCCAAATGCTAACATGCTTTGTGAGTAGCTGGGAAATGGAGAAATCACTGAAAAAGAAAAAGGCTGCTTTGCACAGGTAAATTCATATGAGGAAGAAGAAATCACTTGGAAGGAAACAAGAGTCCATGGGACTGGACCTCAGAATCAGAAAAGGCCCTGTCCACTTAGTTCTCTAGAAATTCTCAGACATCCCTGAGAGAGCATCAGCCTCCTCAAAGTAGATGGGATTGAGGATTCAGCCTTTTTCTAACATTTATTTTTAGTTTTGTTTTTTGTAAATAAGGTAAGCTCAGCTGACACATGGGATTATATAAGCATTGGCTACAAGAGAACAAAACATGAAAATGTGAGCCAAGTCCTAGAGTTGGCCATCTACTAGTGGGACAGGGTGACTTTCTCCCTTCTACCTCTGCTCAGAACATGTCAACAGCAATGATTTTTAGCAGCTATTGGCCGTGCTGGCATTTTTGATGGGAGAATCATAATTCAGAGGAATCAGAATCGCTGTGTAGCTTAAGAAAAAAATTAGTGCAACAATAGTATGTTTGTATTCATTAAAGTGATTGAAAAATCTACCGTTAAATTTATATGGAAACACAAGAGGCCACGAATAGCCAAGGCAATACTCAGTCAAAAGAACAATACAGGAGGTATCACAATACCTGACTTCAAACTATATTACAAAGCAATAACAATAAAAACAGCATGGTACTGGCACAAAAACAGACATGAAGACCAGTGGAACAGAATAGAGGACCCAGATATGAAGCCACACAACTATAACCAACTTGTCTTTGACAAAGGAGCTAAAAATATACGATGGAGAAATAGCAGCCTCTTAACAAAAACTGCCTGGAAAACTGGTTAGCAGTCTGCAAAAAACTGAAACTAGATCCATGTATATCACCCTATACCAAGATTAACTCAAAATGGATCAAGGGTCTTAATATCAGACCACAAACTCTAAAGTTGATACAGGAAAGAGTAGGAAATCCTCTGGAGTTAGTAGGTATAGGTAAGAACTTTCTCAACGGAACCCCAGCAGCACAGCAACTAAGAGATAGCATAGATAAATGGGACCTCATAAAGCTAAAAAGCTTATGCTCATCAAAAGAAATGGTCTCTAAACTGAAGAGAACATCCACAGAGTGGGAGAAAATATTTGCCAGCTACACATCAGACAAAGGACTGATAACCAGAATATATAGGGAACTTAAAAAACTAAATTCTCCCAAAACTAATGAACCAATAAAGAAATGGGCAAGTGAACTAAACAGAACTTTCTCAAAAGAAGAAATTCAAATGGCCAAAAAACACATGAAAAAATGCTCACCATCTCTAGCAATAAAGGAAATGCAAATTAAAACCACACTAAGATTCCACCTCACCCCTGTTAGAATAGCCATCATCAGCAACACCACCAACAACAGGTGTTGGCGAGGATGCGGGGAAAAAGGAACCCTCTTACACTGTTGGTGGGAATATAAACTAGTACAACCACTCTGGAAAAAAATTTGGAGGCTACTTAAAAAGCTAGACATTGATCTACCATTTGATCCAGCAATACCACTCTTGGGGATATACCCAAAAGACTGTGACACAGGTTACTCCAGAGGCACCTGCACACCCATGTTTATTGCAGCACTATTCACAATAGCCAAGTTATGGAAACAGCCAAGATGCCCCACCACTGATGAATGGATTAAGAAAATGTGGTATCTATACACAATGGAATTTTATGCAGCCATGAAGAAGAACGAAATGTTATCATTCGCTGGTAAATGGATGGAATTGGAGAACATCATTCTGAGTGAGGTTAGCCTGGCCCAAAAGACCAAAAATCGTATGTTCTCCCTCATATGTGGACATTAGATCAAGGGCAAACACAACAATGGGATTGGACTTTGAGCACATGATAAAAGTGAGAGCGCACAAGGGAGGGGTGAGGATAGGTAAGACACCTAAAAAATTAGCTAGCATTTGTTGCCCTTAACGCAGAGAAACTAAAGCAGATACCTTAAAAGCAACTGAGGCCAATAGGAAAAGGGGACCAGGAACTAGAGAAAAGGTGAGATCAAAAAGAATTAACCTAGAAGGTAACAAACACGTTCAGGAAATTAATGTGAGTCAACTCCCTGTATAGCTATCCTTATCTCAACCAGCAAAAACACTTGTTCCTTCCTATTATGGCTTATACTCTCTCTTCAACAAAATTAGAAATAAGGGCAAAATAGTTTCTGCTGGGTATTGAGGGGGTAGGGGGGAGAGGGAGGGGATGGAGTGGGTGGTAAGGGAGGGGGTGGGGGCAGGGGGGAGAAATGACCCAAGCCTTGTATGCACATATGAATAATAATAATAAAAAAATAGTATGTTTGCAAAACACAAAATACAGCATATGTGTAATACAAGCTACATTTAATAAATCTCCTGAAGCCTTCCTAGAAGGTGGAAATAGACAATTTGTTGAACAAGATTTTTACTGGGTATTTACTGGGCATATGTACTGATAGAATTACAAACCATGACCAAGTCTGTAATGAAGATCAATTCTCTACAAAGTGACAGAGAATATGAGGAATGGTCAGTAGAAGGACAAGAAGCTTGGTCTGAGAGGATGGTGAGCAAGGTGAAGCCTGAGCAATAAGTCTGTTTCAGAGGCTGGAGATGGGGAAGGATGTGTTTCAGGCATGTGTGAGCAACTGCAAGGAACCAAATAGGGCCAGGTCTTACTGGGCAAGGGAAAGAGTGGCTTAGATGGGGGTGGAGAAGACCCAGAGTATGTGGGCCCATGAACATACTCCTAGTAAGACTGCAGATTCAGCTAGGTGTCATAGAAAGCCACAGATGGGGAGGAAGCAGAAGAGTGACGTGATCTCTAACACATGCTTCTAACAGTGTATACTGGAGGGAGATGAGTGAAAAGGGAAGATGTACAGAGGCTGTTGCTGTAGACTGGGTGAAAGATAATGTTAGCTTGGCCCATCAGGAAAGCAGAAAGAATAACAGAGTCCTAAAGCATCTTGGAGATAAAAATAGTAAGACTTGCTCTCATGTGGGAGGGCAAGAAAGGATCTGGGCGAGGATCACTCCAAGGTTTCTGATTTCAGGGCCTGGATTGCAGATGGAGTCATCTACTGAGATAAGAAGGCTGGGGGTTGAGCCACTTAGGGGGTCAGGAGACAGAGTAGCAGTAGAAATCACCAGTCTGTTGAATTGGAGATGCCCATGAGTGGAGATTTCAGGTATAAAAACAAATGTTGGAGCCCACAGATCAGATGAAAATTTGGGAGCTGTCACATGAAGATGAGAATGAGCATCAGGAGCACAGGGAAGAGAACAAGAAGGTGGAAGACTGGGCCAGAGGGACTGGGCCATGCTCCAGGGGAAATCCAGACAAAGCATCCTCTTCCCCCACACCTATACCACATGCAGCACTCCTAGGACCATCAGAACTGGAGACTGGTGGAAAAGGGAGGTGCTCACCAAAGAGGGACTGAGTTGAGATGAGAAACCCAACCTCAATGTTAGCAGAACCACTGTCAGTTCACAGTTATTTGTGAGAAAACTTCTCTGGCAGTTTGGGGCCAAACTACACTCAGTTAGAAGGAAGTTGGGGTGCTATCAGCTCTCTACAACTGGTTCTAAAGTAAACGCAGATGGTGGGTGTCATCAATATCGCAGTAACATAGGTGTCAATAAAGAATCAAATGTGCCAATAAAGACTTGTTACACCAAAGATTCTTTCACACCACTTATGTTTAAGTCTGTAGTTAGCAAGTGGCTTAAGAGCAAATGCATTAAATGCTCCTTTAGCTGTCAGAAGGGTATGTTATTAACTCAAGATGCATTCAGTATTTGCATAAGCTACAGACAGCCCACATTCACGACTCAGCAGCTTCTGCAGCTTTCCAAGTCTAAGGTTGGCTCTCCTCATCTAGCACATTGAAGGGGATGGTTGCTTGAGCCTCCTCAGTGTCAGCTGTTATCCTTGACCAGGGCAAATAAATGGTCCATATCACACCTGGATGCAACTGTCCTGAGTGGCTCTTCCAAGCAAGCACTGTGGGACCCCGTGTTCCTGCAGTCTTTCCCGAGAGAGAAGGTCCCATCCTGTTTGGGGAATGGGGACCAGGCCAGGAGCCAGATGAGCTTGCACACAAACAGGAGCAGCTTGAGGAACTGCAGGGCAGTGACCAAAAACAAAAGCCTCTTCTGGTCTCCACCACTGAACTCCTGACTGGACGCAGGAGTGTGGCCCTAAAGAGGAAAGAGCAACCACTGTAAACTGTTTCCTGTTCCCCCTGTTCTAGATCATTCTTCTGTAAGAGAGGCTGTCCAGCAAAACAACTCTGTGCTTAGACCCTGGAGCCAGACTTTCTGGCTCCTGCCCTCTTGTGCAGGTGACTTACCTACTATATTAGAGTCTCAGTTTCCTTACCTGCACTGGGGTTATTAACAATGCCTACTTCACTGTACTGGCATGAAGATCAACTGATTCACTCTTAAACCGTGGCACTGACGGGCTACAGTAAATGCTACACAAGGGTTCATTGTTGTTATCTTTGATCCTCACCTGTGCCATCTGCTTTTCTGTAGTCCAGCGCTCCATCTTATCCATAGGTGTTCCCAAGTTCTGTGCTCAGCCTTCTATCTCACTGCACCCACTTTGTGGATTCTCTGGTTCTCTAAGTTCCAAGGATCACCACCTGCTGGTGCCTCTCTGATTAGTGTCCGTGACCAGGATCCCTGATCTAATGTCACGATCATCTTACATACAGCACACCTTCGATGAAGTGGGATCCTCCCCCACACGCCCATTAATGACAGCATCATTCTAACTATTCCAGCCTCCAAATCTATCCCTCCCTTTTCTCCCAAATCCATTTTATTACCAAAGCCTGGGTGTCTTCCTTTCATTTTCCTCTGATACACCCATCCTCTGCACCCTCCATGCCATCCTTACCAGAATATGTCATCACACAGCTTAGAACAGGTATACCCTTGTAGTGAAAGTGCTTTTCAACCGTGTACAAATGGTCCCCAACTTACGATGGTTTGACTTACAATTTTTGCACTTTACAATTTGCAAAAGCATACAATCATTCTGCCTTTACTTTCAGTATAGTATTTAATAAATTGCATGAGATATTCAATATTTCATTGTAAAATAGGCTTTTTGTTAGCTGATTTGCCCCACAATAGGCTTATTAAGTGTTCCAAGTGTGTTTAGAGTAGCCTGGTGAAGTCGTGACGTTTGGAAAGTTAGGTGTATTAAATGAATTGACAAATTATGATCTTTTCCACCGCTCATGGGTTTATCAGGTTGTCACATCCCCTGTGGCGGTCTGAGTGGGACTTACTTCAGCCTCTGAGAGGAAGAGGCTACTGGCTTGACTCCTGTTTGGTACCATCAACATTACTACTGCTGGCTTCCAGCACTGAAGACCAACAGGACACTCCACCCCAGTCCTGAGACCAGGACAACTCAGTGCGTGCATGCACACACACTCACTTCCCAGCACTCTCTGTTTGGGGGTGCAGGGCCTCACTGAGAATCACACCTCCTTCAAATCCAATCCACCCTGCACACCCAGCTCAGACAAAGACTCTTAAACAAATTACTTGTGGTCACTTCAGAATCCCTCCCTCCCCAGCTGCCTCCTCAATACCCTCTTCTTTCTAAGACCAACCATAACCTGCCCCCTTAAGCCCCCATTTCCTTTCTCACCCTTCCTCATGCATGCCCCTCCCCTAGCTTTTCAGAATCTCCCAGGCATTGTCTCTGGCTTAGGCTCTCTCTGTTCCTCCTGCCTGACGTGTCTCCTATCCTTGCTATTCACCTGGTCATCCTCCAGGCTGGCTTTGTACTTTCCCACCTGCCCCATCATGCTCCCACCCCTGTCTTAAACATCTCAGAACCAGTTCTGACAAGTTCATGTCTCTGTTTCCTTGTGTGGTATTCTGAAGTTAAGGGCAAAGGCCACACTTGTCTCTAACCCACCAGACCTGACACAATAAAAAGGAGCAAACTCCTAGAGAGATGGCATTTTGTCCATTTCAAAGTTCTTTTTCTTTTTTTTGGTAGCACTGGGGTTTGAACTCAGGGTCTTGTGCTTGCTAGGCAGGCACTCCACCACTTGAGCCACACTCCCAGCCCTTTAACTTAAGGTTATTTTTTCTTAAGGTCTCACATTATTTTTCCAGGGCTGGCCTTGGACCTCAGTCCTTCCACCTATGCCTCCCACATAGCTGAGATCGCAGGTGCCTATCACCATGCCAGGCTCATTTGTTGAGATGGGGGTCCCACAAACTGATTTGCCACACTGATTTGTTTGCCACTACAGATTGATGATGACATTGGCCTGTGTCACTTTCCCTCCGTAATCTCTGCCATAAAGTTACACTTATCACCAAAGCAGTCTTTACCTTCTTCCACTTGGTGGAGGTCAGTGCTGTCTTTCAAGTCTTCATCCACCCAGGGGTGAACTCTAGCCTCCCCCTTCTTCCTGTTGGCGTTCCTGTCAGCATTTTTAAAGATCCACACAATCAAAACACAGACAACAGCTACCAAGACCGGAGTCAGGAAAAACATGGTTGGAGTCTGATCCTGAATGTGCATGCTTCCCACACTGGTATATAAACAGAGACAGGAGCTAGCAGGGAATGCCGGGATTGGGAGCAGGAAGCGGGAGGCGGGCCAGGACGGAGCAAAGTGCAGAACTCAAACTCTGAGGACTTTGCAGAGGAGCAAAGACCACGGTCACATGCGTTTGGGATAAGTGTGGGTTTGGACGTGCATCAGTGCATTCTTTTGTTAAATTGTGCACTTGATTGATATAGTCTTAGATAGGATGATCAGGAAATGCAGAAGGACCGTGATGAGCTAGATCTTGCTAGCAGTGGAAAAAGGAATTGAATCTTCCTCCTGTATAACTTTTCTCCCAGAGTATTTTCAAAACTTGCTTCAAGTTAGGAAACACCTGGAGAACCTGCTTTTAAAAGAATAGATTACCAGGTATAAACTCTGATCTGTTGAAAGAAAATTTCCAGAAAGAGAACTACTAATCTATATGTTAAATAGAAAGTGTGTGAGACACAGCCCTGAGGTCTGAGGCTGCGATTTCTCTTTTTAAATGCCTATGTCAACACATGCAGTGAAGAAGAAAGTGTTATGTTTTCCCTTGAAAGAAAACTTTGATCCAGGAAAAGTGACGGCAACATTTTAAATGATTAACTATATAACTTTACATAGATTTTGATTTTGGTTTTGGTTTTGTGTTTTATGTCTTAGCAAATGTCTTAGTTCAGGCCACTATGACAAAAATACCATAGGCTGGGTGACTTAAATAATAAAAATGTATATATTTCTCATAATTTTGGAGATTGGGAAGTCCAAGATGAATGTGCTGGCAGGTTCTGTTCTTTGTTTATGGCTGCCTTCTTCCTATGTCATCACATGGAGGGGAAAGAGAGAGAACTGACACTCATTGTGTGCTTACTGTGTGCTGCGAGACTCTTGGCTGCCTATGAATGTTAACTCATATACACCTCACAACAACCCCACACAGTATACCCCATTATCATCTCCATTTTTCCTGTGAATAAAATGAGACACAAGTAGATTAACTAATATGCCAACAGTCAGTCTTAGATAAACGGACCAGAAAAGAAGCATATGTTGTCTACCCCTGCAGAGCAGTCTAGAGCCCTTAGCCCAAAGCCCACTGGTACGGACCCAGCCTGGTGGGGATGGAAAGAGGGTGGGCACAGGAGGAACTGACACCTGCCTACCCAAGGTCACCTCAGCTTAGTAGGCATACCAAAAAAGAGGTCTCAAAACACATGCATCATGGGGGAGAAGAACATGGCAGCTGTTACCGGCCCCAACCTGAGCAGAGAGTGGAGAAGAGCCAGAGCAGTTTACTATTGTGACGGACAGAGCAGGGCGGTGCGCGCTCCAGAGCCAGAGCCTCTGCAGGTCTCTTGTTCTTCTATCTCCTCCAGACCCAGCCCCCTCCTCTGTGAATTCCTGCCACATGCACCTGTCTGGGCCTGGTGCATCTGCACTGCTCCCTTTCCCCCACCCAACACCATCTCCAGGCCTCCCCTTCATGACAACGTCAAGACAGCAAAATGCTTCACAGTTATCATGGAGCCTGGGGCCATCATAATTTCAAATCCATTTATTTTTTTGGTGGTACTGGGGCTTGAACTCAGGGCCTTCACTTTTAGTCACTCCACCAGCCCAGATTTTTTTGGGATGGGTTTTTGAGATAGGGTCTCTCAAACTGTTTGCCTGAGCTGGCTTCAAGCTGCAATCCTCCTCATCTCTGCCTCCTGAGAAGCTAGGATTATAGGCATGAGCAACTGGCGCCAGGCTCAGACTCATTTTGGTTGAGAAACAGAGATTGGGGCATGGGGTCAAAGCAACACCATATTTGTGGAAGGCCCTTCCTGTCTCTACTTGGAATACTTCCAAATCATCCCGGGCTACTTGTATTCCAACACTTTTTCCTCATCAGGTGAGGGAATGGGACCAAGGGTAGATGGAATGGAAGATGACAGGAAACATCTTTTATACCATGTATTTTTTTATTACTCATTTCAGATTTATTGTCTATTTAAATCCTTGCAGACCATGTTGTGAACAGTACTATTTTAGAAGACACATTTTCCCAAAACACACATATGGTTTTTAGCTTTCTGATGATAAATGGATCTCTGTCCATTTTCATATTTGTCATGTGTTTCTATGTGCAGCACTGGGGCGGCACTTTCTCTGTTATCCCCTGAGTCCACAAAGTTCCACTCTCCTGAAGAGAAAAGAAAATGAAGAGCTACACACTATGGCCAACACACCATGAATGAGTTAGAGCAGGGATCCTCAAAGTGTGGTCTTGGGCTGGCAACCTTAGCATCACCTGGGAACTTGTTAGATATGCAACCCCAGGCCCACAGAATCAGATACCCTGGGTGCAGAGACCAGCAATCTGCTTCACCCTCCAGGTGATTCTGGTGCCAGCTAGTGTTTGAGAACCAAATGGTGAGATGCCCAACCTCACCCCAGATTCAGATTCTCCAAACTCAAGGCCCTGTATCCAGAGCAAAGTGTTCTAAACTTCAAACATTTATTGAGACATTCTCCTCCAAAATGTCTCAATAATACACAGTATCTTTCAGATGATCAATTCCCAATGAATATAAATTCCAAGCTTAAAGAATGTAAATGAGTTTTTTAAGACATAAAATTAATCTATCTGACCACAACATCAGAAACTGTGGCCAGGAAACTCTAAGAATGCTTGCAGCAGCTCAGATGAGAAATAACAAGGGTCTTATCTGGGAAGAAAGTTGTACCCCTGGCCAGGGGGATTGTTTGCATGAATGGTGGTAGAAGTGATAGGGTCCAGACCTGGGGGACTGTAAGAGTTGGACTCTAAGATTACATCAAATCACGTATTCCAATCTGTACTTGGTCTCTCTGTTTTCTTTTGCCAGGGAAAGTGTTTGGGATTTCAAAATCTTAGTGAGCATGTAAGTGGAGTCATTTATGGGCTCTCCAAGGGACAGGCTCTTCACTAAAAGGAGCTCTTAGGAAAAAACCTGGAAGAAAACACACATCTCAGAAAGCTGGGGACTGTGCAGGAGAGTGATCCTTCAAGCGAGACTGTCTTTGCTTCTAAGGAAATGTTAATTCTGAGACTGGAGGACTTGCCAAGTGCTTTTCCTCACAAGAGCAATATCCAAGCAGTGCTACTCAAAGCATGGGCTGGGGCCCACAAGAAAAGTGATGGCATTATCCAATTCCTGTGTTACGTTCTCTTTTGAAATCAGTGTCTTTGTATGAAGAGCTCAGCCACAAACAAAATACCATTCCTTCTAGACAAAAGGACAGAAGCTCTAAAGAGATGCTACTCACAAGTGTGCTACAGTAAACAAATGACATGTTCTAGAGCAATAAAATGTGACATTTATCAACACTATGATTGCTTTCTATAGAGATTCATTATTGCTTTTCTGCAAAAGAAAAAAAAAATACCATCAGAACTAGTGATTATTTCTCCTCTAGAAATAATCTTCCTGGCTTTTGGCCAGGTGTGGTGGTACAAACCTGTAATCCCAGCACTTGGGAGGCTGAGGCAAAGATTCACAAGTTCCAGGCCAGCCTGGGGCTACATAGTAAATTTGAGGTCAGCCTGAACTACACAGTGAGAACCCTGTGTGAAAAACAAACAAAAAGGCTTTGTTCATTTGTCTGTTTTGGCAGTACTGGGGCTTTGAACTCAGGACTTGTTGCTTGCTAGGCAGGTGCTCTATTACTGGAACCACACCTCCAGCCTTTTTTTTTTTTAAAGCACAAGATGGTTCTTAATAAAGGTGTTGGTTACTTGGCATCTAAGGAGATGGCTGCTGTAATAGTTTCCTGGGGTTGCTGTGATAAAATATCCAAACTGGATGGTTTAAAACAACAGAAATTTATACTCCCACAGTTCTGGAGGTTAAATTCCAAAATCAAGGTCCCTCTGAAGGCTGTAAGGAGACTATGTGGCCTGCCTGGTGTTTGCTGGCGCTCTTTGGTCTTCCTTGGCCTGTGTACACATCACTCTGATCTCTGTCTATGTTGTCATATGGGTGTCTCTATCTCTGTGTCTCTTCTTATAAGGATGCCAATCATGTTGAATTAGGACCCACCCCCAATGACTTCATCTTGAACTGATTCCATCTGCAAATACCTTATTTCTATCTCTTGAACAGGTAGAGAATGTTAGGACTTGAACATATCTCTTTGGGAACACAATTCAACCCATAACACCTGGTAAAATGAGAGAGTAAAGATACTTCAGCCTCTTTCTGCTGAGTTAACTGAGAAATACTGATCAAATCATATAGAACTGTCATGTTTTTATTCTAACTGTAAAGTGGGGGGAGCAAGGGAGGTTTCATCCATTTCTATCCATCTTCGAAGACAAGGTACTCACTCAATCCCAGTTTTTGACATCTGTTCCCTTTTGGGAGTGAAGGCTCATCAATGACCAACCAGTCACCTGAGACTTTGAGATTGCTTGATACAGATGCTGGGAGACAGGAATCCCTCCCCACTTTTAACGTCTAGATCTATCCTTGGGCTCTGGAAAGCCCAGCAGTTCAAAGGCTATATATTTTAATATAATATTTTATTAGGTTAAAAATGCTAATTACTGTGATAGTTCAGAACAGGAGTGCAAAATGAAATGCACTAACTTAGATGCAAGGGCTTGCGTATAAGTTTTAAGTCATCTTGGAGAGGATTAGGACACAGATCTGCAAAATCAACCACAGGAGACGGTGGCTGGCTTTGCTTAGCCAGTTGTGCTAGTTACAAAATGATAACTCGTGCTGTCTGAGCACTGCCCCCAACTCAGGCACTGTGACCTCATTTCACGTGCACACCTGGGCCTCCAGGTGAATGTTGGGTAGTATTCTCCCTCCTCCTTAGGAAGAAAGGCACTTCCACCTGGCTCTCCAATCCTCTCTCCCAACCTCCCCTGCTGTCTTAGCAAAGGAGGACTCCTGCGTGGCTCACACAACTCTGGAATCTGTTTCCTGGAGGGC